GAGAGAGAGAGAGAGGGAGGGAGAGAGAGAGAGACGAACATAACCAGACGAAAGCCAGAGCTAACCGATTCGAACGTAACCCGACGTATCGCGCGCGCCTCATCTGCCGGTCTCCGTATAGATCCCGGCCCCGTCAGAGATCCGATCTACCGGTTGCTCTACCCGCAGTTTCACTTTGTTCCGCGGAAAATTCGAGCCGCCCGGCGAAACTCCGCTCGGAGCACCCAGTTCCGGGCAAGTTCGACCGCGCGGCTTGTTATGTTAAACAGCAATCCTACGCGAAATGTAATCCGTTCGAACGTACTGTCTCCGCAGCTCGGCGCATTGTGCGGCGACGTTTGCACGTCGGATCTATGTTCCCCGAAGTTAAGATCGACTCTCTCTCCGTTATAACTTCCCGGGCAACCGGGTATATTTGAATTCGACTGCGCCGCGCCGCGCCGCGCGGAGCGAGCCGTGCAGAGAACCGTTCGGATAACTTTTCCAATGTAAACGACGTTCGTTTCGAGCCTCGGCGACCAGCCTCCCTCTCTCTCTCTCTCTCTCTCTCTCTCTCTCTCTCTCTCTCCCGGCGTTAAACTTTCCAATTTTCCTAATCCCCATCCACCCACTCGGCCGCGCCCACTGACACACGTCGACGTAGATCGATGCGCGCGCGAGCACAGGGTTACTTTTCTACCGCGAATAATTTCAAGGTAAACCGTCGCTGGTGAAACTATGTCATCCCGGGGCCGCAAATCGTCGATAGAGGAAGTCCGCGTGTCACGAACGTGAAGCGAACAGGAAATCGGCGTCGCTGGTCGTGACGCAGCCGGACGACGTTGATCGCGGGTGTCGTTACGCGGTCCGCGCGGCTTAACTTCAAGCGGCCGGGTCCAGATTGATAAGCTTACGCGTCGCGATGTAAATTAACTGGACCGACACAGGACGGTCGGGACGCGGCTAAGGTTAAGTCGGAAGGGGATCGAGGTTACGTGGTCCCACTACGCTCCAGATAGCCATCCTTGATGCGATCCGACGCCATCTCGCTGTCTCGTTTCCGGGCCCTACTCGCTACCGAATTCTCCTCCGACCCCACGAAGCTTAGCTTAACCCCGAGACACCACAAGAGGCAATTAACCTTCCGCCAACCCCTCCACGCGCATTACCCTCCGCCCTTTCTCTCCGTCTCGCTCTCTATCTCTCTCTCTATCTTTCTGTCCATCTACGTCTCTCTTTCTCTCCGTCTCTCTATCTATCAGCTCCTCCCCCCTCAACCCAGGTTTCTACGGCTGTCTCCCACTGTTTCGAGTCGTCGCCGCCCCAACGCTCTGTCTCCTAACCCCCGCCCCGCCAGGCCGGGGTCCACTATTCCTCCTGTTGATATCCTACTTGGAGCATCTGCATAATCATGCCCGATTCCCAATGCTAATTAGAGTCCGTGCCAGTGCCCTATCCTACGTAGCAAGTACACGTCGACCTCCATCGCCTGTGGAGCAACGCCGCGCCACGCCGCGCCACGGCTCGTCTCGCTTCGAGTTGTTTCGCTTTGTCTTTATCTCGGCTCGTCTCGTCTCGTGTTGCGTGCGCTACGAACGGACGGAAGAAAACTTCGTTGGAGAGAACAGAGGGATGGAAGGAAGGGGGGAGAAAAGGAAAAAGGAAAGAGTAGTCGGCCGAACAAAATCGACCGAAGATTACGCTCTATTTTAAATGAAGGATGACGGAGCCGCCGGATATTCGATCGGACCTGCACTTCGATCGCCTTTTAACCGTGCCGCGCCGCTGTAATTGGCTTGTTCCAGCTATTAAAATGTGCTGGTTTAATTGCGCGACACCCCTGAACAGTTTGAACGTCGTCACGAATTAAGACGGGAGCGGAATGAATTTCCTTCGGCGAGCTACGGCAAGCGATCGTTTTCGGCACGTCCTCTCTAGTAACCCGATGTTCCTGGATGATAGTGCATGATTTTAATAACTAGTAGATCTTAGCGATGAGAACAGCTACACCGGATCGACTGGTCGTCTCCGTTGGAAGGAATAAACGTACGCGACAGCTCGCGGGTTTGCGGGAAACTCTTCGATACCTTCGAAATTGCTCTATCTGCTCCGTGTGATTCACCTTGAAATCGGCCTGATTGTTGGCTCTGTCGCGGAAGATCGGTGCCGAATCGCGGGTCTCGTGACTAGCCTGCGGAACTCCCTGAAACTTTCTGCATCGATGAAACCGCCGATCGCGAACGATAAGTATATTTTCATCGGGGAACGAGAGATTACGTACACAAAGACTCGAACGAATGGGAAAAGTGAGCAACGTGCTCGTTATGCGCGCGATCAAATTACGTTTGCGACTTCCGAAACAAAAGAGGCTTGATCTCTCTCTCTCTCTCTCTCTCTCTCTCTTTCGAAACTGTGCGCCGTTCTATACTCGGACCATTCATTTTCCCGATGGATCCGGAAAGTCCGCAGTCTAGTCACGAGCTCGCCGCGAGTAGCGAGAAGGGATATCGTCCGATTTCTTTGCCAGACCGTGGGAAGACGTGATTGGGGGCGTTGTTGGCTGCGGGGACGGGGGCCGTTCAAAAACGGCGCGCTGAGTATCCGGTGTCGTACAACTTACAGAGGCTGTCGGTGCGTCCCGGTGGGGAGTGCATGCCGGGAACGGAGACCGAGACCGACAGGGCATCCTGATGCTTCAGCATCTGCCGGCGTCTCTGCCAGGTGATGGTCCACGCGGCGATCAGGGCGATCTGGGCGAGCAGGAAGACGCTGCCGGCGACGATCGCCTCGCCCAGGTTGATGCACATGCCCATCGTCGATGAGATGTCCTCGCTCTCGACGAACACGGTGTTCCTGGCCGCCGAGCTGGCGTTCAACGCCTTGTCCTTGCGCTGGAAATCGTCCTTGTCCGAGATCTGGATCGATTGCACCAGATAAAGGTCCTTGCGGCTATGGGAGGACGGCTCGGCCTCGCGACGGCGACGACGCCTGCCGAAGGAGATCATCGAGCGCAGCTCCCCGGGTGCATCCTCCTGGTTGCACTGCACCGGTTCGCAGGTCGGCATGCATGGTGTCACCAGGGCGCGGAACTGCACCACCTCCGAGTTCGGGAACTTGAACGCTTCCAATTGGGACAGCAGAATCTGAAATCGAACGGGAAGCATTTGTAGACGCGACGATTTTCAATGGTCTCGTTCGACCGACCGGGTCGCTCGATTTGTCAGGAACGAGTCGCTCGACCGAGTCGCTCTGGGAACCGCGGCAATTTCCTTGGGAAGAAAAATACCGAGCCGGGGAACACAATGCCGGTGAGGAATTGAGTTTACGTCGGCGGCGTCTACGCGAGATAAGTAATTGGGAAAATCGTGTCCTTATTTCATAATCTGGTTCACGGCTGCGCCGAGTTGCCGGGCTCCGCGGAAACTAGTTGGAATTTTATGTAGGACTTTCATGAACCGGTTCGCGGGGAAATTGGTTTACGTTCTCTATCGCGTTCGTGCTCTTCTGTAACGGTTTTAAATAACTGCCACCAAGGAGAAACTTCGAAGTGCTGGAAGAGCTGCACGATACTTCACGCGCAAAAGAACCCACGAAGAATTCCACCCGTCACTTTGCAAAGCGTTTGGATTTTACTGTGACCTATCCAGTTTACTTTTACGTTGTACCGCCGACCCCTCCCATTACATACTCGGTTCCGATGTAACACCATGCGGAAATTGCGACGATTCTTTCACGACACGGTACAACATTATCGTATTCAACATTTTGTAATACGAGGATAATATTCTTTATAAGCAGGACGTTGCAGACGGTTGCTCGTTCAGTTTAGACGTACATTTAGATGTGTATTAATATAGTTATTAACAATTCCCCGTTACAATTCCTATGCGAAACACGTATGCCATACTGGATACACTCGGATCCAGTTTAGTTTTTAAACCGTCACTTAAAAACTAGCAATATTATTGGGATCAAACAATTTCAGAATATAGTTTGAATTGAGACACCAAACATTTCAGAACATCATTTGAATCGACACTCGGAAACTTGAGAATATAATTTGAATTAAAACTCAAAAATTTGAGAATTAATTTTACGTTCTAGAACATCGTTACCTCTATGAGAATTCGATGTATCACTTTCAGGTATGTCGAGTTAATTGTTAACATCAGTCTTTTCATAACAATGTCACTCTTTCGATAAAAAAAAAATGCAGGACATTTTTGCCCTATTGTAACAGCAGAAGATTAAATAGAAGAACATTAGAGTTGTGTAATTTTCGTATTGTCGCATGCTGTCCGACAAGACGTTCCCAGCATTCCTGAAATTTGCACTTTGACAAAAATGTTCAATGTTTGTTTTCGTTGTGCGAAATCGTTGAAGATACTTTAAATGAATTTCTTTGATTTCTATTGTTCCAAAATTGCTCTTAATATGACAAAGCTCTCGGCGAACAGGACTTCGTTGTAACATAGAACGAATTTTCCTCATTGCATTAGTTCTAGGTTTATTCCTTCGATACTTTGCGGGACGAATCTATCGTGTTCTCGGAGAGCCGATTATACTTTTCGCTTGCACAGACCGCGAAACTTCTCACAATGTACGATCACGAATTTTCTTTTCTTCGCCGCGTCATTCGCAAATTTGAAGTCATCCACTTCGATTGCAAAGCTTGCTCTACGAGTCATTATTGTCTTCCGCGTATTCTTAGACTCGTGTGTGCTTTACGTTCGCCGAGAACGTGTAATTATTCCGAGCTCGCGGGGACAATTGAAATCGGACGGAATTGCTCGCTGCCGAAGCCACGGGACGACACACAGGGAAGAGATCATTTTGTCCCGTTATTCATTACGACGATAATACGGCGACGTCGACTGAAAGAAAACGTCGCGGAGCGTGCAAAAATCGTGTCCGCTCGGTAAAACAGTTTAAAGATATTTGCGCAGTTTTGTTGATGAACTTCACCGTTCGCCGGGGACAGAGCCGCGGCGAGTACCGCTATAAAGCTGTCGTTCATGGTTCTTTCATTCATTTTTTCCTTGTTAGAAATATAAACGCTTCCGCGACTGAATACAACGGCCGCGCGACACAGGATTTCCATGGATTTTATCTGGGACAGGACGCGTATTAAAATACCATCAACCGGCGATGTTAAGAGGGTGAAATTTGCATTTCATGGGGCTCCGGGATATCGCGTTCTCCCTGGCTTTTCAACTTAGACGCGGCAGAATAATAAGAAACAATCTGCAGCTTCATGCGACAAATCCATGTTTCCCACCGGTACCAAGACGCGTGTAGAAATTGCATACGTTGCGTATGGCAGTCGCAAGTGTTGATTATTTACGATTCGATAAATTCTTTATACAACAGGGTGTTCAATAAATACCATTTAATACTTATATGGTATATAAGATATATTGTGCTGAGTAAAAAAAAACTTTAGTAAACGTAGGTCGAAAGGTCAACCGTTTCTGAGATATGAACATTTTTGTTTGCCAGTCTCATGATTGATTTACTACTGAATTTTCGATGTTTACAGAGGATTTTCTATGTGTCCACCTCCCATTTCTACACACGCTTTGCATCTTCTTGTTACAGAGTCGCAAAGTCTCTCGAAAATTCCACATTTCTGTTGAATTGTTTGACAAGCGTGGTGGATTCGGTTACGTAATTTTTCGAAGTCATTTATCGGCGAGGAGTACACTAGGATTTTTAAATATCCTCGTAAGTAAGTTAATCGTGACACTGGCGAACAAAAATGTTTATATTGCAGAAACGGTTCACCTTTCGACCTATGTTTACTAAAGCTTTTTTACTCAGTAAAATGTATCCTATATACCATAAAAAAAACCATTCAATATTTATATATCCTGTATATATATATAAAAGTTTATATATAAATATATATATAAAAGTTTATATATAAATTATAAATAAATAAATAAATATATATATATATTTTTTATTTATAATTTTTATATATATAAAAATTTATCGAATCGTAAATAATCAACACTTATGATTGCCCTACGCTACGTATGCACTTTCTACACGCGTATGTATCTACCGAGCATTAAAAGTGAGTAACTTGCATGCTTCACAGGCATAACAAAACTGAATTTACATAAACTTTTCATCAATAATGTATTCTGGAGAATTAAGAAATTTATTCAATTATTTCCTGTGAAAGCGTCTTTATAATGAGGAGAACAATTATATTTTTATTTATTTATTTTAACGGACTACACTGCACTGGATAAATAAAGAATTTTGTATAAAAATGCAAAAATGAGAGTAACGTAAAAAATAATAATGAGATATATATAAAATTTTAATGATTAACTCCGGATAAGCCTAACAAAGACGATTTAAAAGAGATTAACGATTCAATGAAGAACTTAATGTTTCTGCAGTGAGCATTTGAGATCGAGAAGAATCAATTAGTATTAAAAGAGATTCTCTTTAATCTAAGGTCGCAGGATATGCAACAAGATTATTGATACTTATTGCATATTATTTATTACAAGATTATTGATTATTGAACATAATATAAGATCCGCTCTTCGTCTTCTATCAAGAATATGCAACCTCATCGCTTCGAGGATGTTATCGTAATTGAGACTCGTTATAGGTACCGGTCTATTAATTTCATAGGAAATGAGTTGATGAAGTTGAAAGAAGAAATCTTAAAAGAAAAATCGTGACACTTCATTTTGACCGACGCGGTAGGTTTTTTTTGTTCATCATCGTCACCAGCGAATTGTCGCTCCCAATGAATTTGAATAAATTGTTCGAGAATCTCGGGGATACCAGAGTTGATAGAAACGCGGGATCTCAAACGGACGTCTCCATATTCTTTTGGGGATTTCGGACGAGGGTGGGACGGCGGCGTCGACGGCGCGGCATCTTTTTAATTTTGAATCCGGGAGAGTGTCACCGGCGGACGCTTTCAAAGGGGATTAAAGCGTAAAAATGAGGAGCGCGGACCCTCATCTTTTATTCTAAAAATGTTCGCGACCGTCGCGCTAAATTAATTCGCTGTCGCCCTTTACAACTGGCTCTCTACGCGTCATAAACTGTAAAACGGTTCACCACTGTCGTGCCGCAAAGTGGGACGTTGAAAATTCATTTCCGCGAATCGATCTATCCTTGGGTGGTTCGCTAATTAATTCGTCATCGCCGCTCGAGTCGGTTAAAACGAAGGCGTTTCGGGATCACGATCGGTCTTGCTTGGTTTCCAGAGATGGGGAAGAAGCTGCGTGGACGCGGGCTAAGGATGATTCGCGAACTGGTTTTTCCCACTTTTTCGCCTTCATTAAGCAGCGGCGTGTAACGGCAATTACACGGGATCATGAGATGGGAAACGTACTTAGCACGGGCTTTTAAAGCTGCCATTAACCGGCGTGATGGCCACGCGAAGTCACTAACGTTGCACCGCATTTTGGGAGAATAGGTGCGGCAAATTCTTTCCAGAATGCCAAATTTCGGGTTGCTGTCAATTTCCCTGTGCTAGTCCTACGCCTATGTAATTTATTGCTACGTCAATGCTAAGGTGCGACGGAGTCGGTGAAGCGTGTGATGCGGCACGCGACGCGGCTCCTTTGACTCGAATTCCCGGAAGACAACGTACAATCGTTTGTTTAGGTGTGAATCCGGTAAGAAAAGTCGCGGAGCTACAAGACACGTGGTAGGTACAGTAAGTTCTCTCTAATTGACGTTCAGATTGTACATGAAAATGAACAATTTTGGAAGAGGAGATACGATTATTCGAGCTTAGCGCTTCGAGCTTTTATAGTTACCGATTGTCGAATAGTTATATAGTTATCCTCTTATAGTTATAGTTATATCTTCTTCTCAAATCGAGCATTTTTATGCACAATCCGAGGGTCGATTAGGGAGAATTTACTGTAGTAGGTACGTGACCGCCGAATCGTGGCATGTGGCCTCCGAATTGCCTTCGAATCGTGGCATGTGGCCTCCGAATTGCCTTCGAATCGTGGCATGTGGCCTCCGAATTGCCTTCAAATCGTGGCAAAAAATTAGAAATAAAGAGGTTAAGTCATCGTTTTTATTCTAGCATTACTATGTATTCATGCTGGCCGACATGCTGGCCGCTGCATTTTTTTGCCGACTGCTCTGAGTT